GATTCAGTTCTTTTCCTCCTTTCCCATATTCATCCTCCCTCCTCACTTCCAAGTGCTCACGTCCTGTGTGGATCACCAAAAACTTATTTCAGTTAGAAGAAAAATATGCGCATTCGTAAATTTTGCAACATGAAACCATGCAAAAAGAATCAATTCTAAACATCAACATGAAACAAATGAAGAAGCTGTTCTATAAATCACCTGTGTCCAACTAAGGGTGAAGGCCTTTTTTTTTTCCTAGTATCATTCTTACTGCTTTTCCAAAAGGAAGATTTTACCTTTTCACCTTCCTTGTGAATTTTCATTGCTCTTTTTGATTTCAGACAGGACAGTAACAAGATTAATCCACCTCCGCTTTCCACAGAATACCATAGCCCAACACTGCTCCAGGCTGCTTTATGATGAGGTTATACAAAAACTATACCACGCACATACCTGTTTAGAAGAAGCAGAGACTGACAACAGTTAAGCTCTTAAAATAAAATGTCCATTGACATGAGTGACAACAAGGCAGGGCCCCAGAGCGGAGGCCTCTGCAGCAGCAGCCACAAAACAGGCATCCCAATCTCTGTTCACTGCCCAGGACAGTAATGACCAGATGACTTTTTCTAGATTTTTCTACTTATTTAACCATTTTTCTTTTGCCCAACCAAAACAGAATTTGGTTTGTGAAGTGAAGGACACAACAAAAGGAGTCATCCTGTTCACCATATGTAATGAATGCATGTAAAAAGGGCTGGACTTTGGCTCTAATTTGTTTCACGACGCCCTTGGTGATTGTAGTCCTGAACCTCCACTTCAGTGCAACTGCTTCCCAGTGAATATTGCTAGAGATGCAATACAGACCTTGAAGGATTATCCCAGAAGAGCATCCCAAGATACCACACAGAAGCACGGGAAGACTTAAAGATTCAGATAATGCCTCTTCTATCTCTGACTTAAGCAAGTCACAGAAGTGCAACGTAATTACTGTTTCTACACTTTTTATCAACTGGGATAAAAAAAAAAAAAGTCTCAAAATTCAAGAATCGAGCTACCCTTTTTCAGTATCCAGACTCAGGAATGATGATTTGGAGAGCAACACAAAAGCACTGCATTGCCTATGTACTCACTGCCTCCTCTGGACTGGGGAAAGATCAGCCAAATCCAGCTCAGAGTCATAAGCATTTCACCCTTTGGCAGTAGCATCAGTAAACCTGCACGATTTCAATATGTACATCTATAAAATTTGTGCAAGGGAATAAATTATTTTTAATATTAGACAGAATGAAAAAGTAGAAGTGACAGAAATCTTCAGTCAGGTAACGGTAGTAAATATGTAACTTCTCGGCACTGAAGCTGCTGGCCAACCAACAGAGCTTGATCTCAATATAATGAAAACCCACTGAAGCTAGAGAGAGCGCTTGAGGAACATCTAACACAGTCAGACAGCCAAAGCATTACAGTCCAAGCTACCATGACCTAGTAAACACATTTATATTCCTTACAGAGAACTGACAATGCTTTTATTGTTGCAGTTTTAAAAACCTATGCAAAGTTACTAGTTTCCTGACAGACAAGATCACAGTGAGTTTCCCATTATGAAATAAATTATTTCCATGAAAACCCCCCCTAATTTTGAGTATAAGTAATTGATGCCAGTGGGACCAGTTTTTCATCAACTTACTTTTTAAATTGGATTTTTGCAGGCAGAAATTTTCAGCCTTGAGTTTGGTAATACTAAGATCATGCGAGTGGAATTTGAGGCTTATAGGTAGAAGGATGTTGTCTTCCTGTTACAGACTTACCATCACTACATCAGGGCTATATTAAGTACTGCAGCTATCAGAAATACTTCTAGAAAGTTATTCATAAGACACAGTATTTGCGTGCATGCAGACACACACAGAGCTGGAGAGGTTCCTTGTGAAGAGATAGCAAATCTGTGTACAGGATTATAAATATATGAGCCTTCACATTTAATACTTATGAAAGAAACAGCTAATAGTCATGAGCTTGGACAATAACTGCTCAAAAGAACAATTCCACTCTTAGATGTTTCCACAGTTTTGACTTTTAAGCTGGCTCTTTTTGATGAGCAATAATTGAGATGGTTTTTCATCAAACCACTGTTAAAGTGAACACTGTAAGCAAAACCGTATTTAGTTTGGAAATTCATGTTATTTTACTGAAGTACAGACTTCAGTACAGATTAGGGACGTACATGCAGCATGCTCAGAACTTCCTGCTCAGGGACAGTGTTGTGCCAAGGAAAGGTGGTGACATGGAGAAGAGGAGGAATGAGCATAACCAAGACAAGAAAATGAATTCAGGAAGCTGCTGAAGTTTTGTTTTAGCTTCAGGATTGGGCACAACACTCATTGTGTTCTTAAAACATTCACATTTCATGAGTAATATTCTGATGAAGGAAGTGGTGGGGATGCAAATTACACCTCGCTTTGAGGCAGATCACCCCTCTGGAGAATAAAGGCAGGCCTTCACTGTGCTGCATGCAGGAATAAAGCAGCTTTAATGCAATGCTTCCATTCAGTCCTGAGGGGAAGTGCTGAATGAGTGCTCTTACCAGATCCTCTGAACAATCTACTTTCCAGGACTGTCTAATGCTTGTCCTCCACTAGAAGAACTCTTAACATCATTTATGAAGTGGTAATTTTCAGTATCTGAATCTTACCTCCCCTTTCCTCCTCCCAAATTTCCACTGAAGGGTCCTCAAAGCCAGCGTCCACCCATTGGTATAATGCCCAAATTTGGAAATTTACATTTAAAAAGGAAAATTAGAGCCACATTAACAAGAAAACAGGGTCTTCTGGTTTTGTTACAGCTATGGAATACTAAAACGAACACACTGAACAGAATTTTTCCAAACTTCTTCTGTTAAAGAAAAAAATAAAGAAAATACTTCTTTTTGAATATGCGTAAGAAAAGTGAAGAAAATTTAAAAGTAAGTAAAAAATAGGAAGACGAGAAGGATAGAGCCCTTTCACCTATAAGGCACTCTCCCTGGATACAAGGACAGAGGTCCATATCCCATCACTGCATAAGAACCGAGCAGAGTAGTGTGTGTTAAATACCCCACTCAGAAATATTCTGGAATGCTTTGCTCTTACAATCTGCTTTGTTAATGTCACATACTTGGAAAAAATACATTTCAGTGGAACTGGGGCTAGAACCAAGGTTTTCTCCTTCTATAATGACTTAACTATTCCACCCTGCAGGGTAAATTCTTCACTGTAAGTTTTATGAAGCTACCTAACACAAATTCCCATATTTTTTTCCAGCCAAAACCATTCAGCAAACCTATCCTGAATTCACAAATAGTTTTGCAAGCACCAAAGCTCCATAAATTCAGCTGATTCACTGCCAGCCAAGTCAAATGGCTGGTGCTATTTGCAACTGTCTCCATAGCGTTCCCAGAACTCACTGCCAAAGAGAGGAGAAAGGAAGCACAACCCAACGCTGCTTTTTGTAGGCAACTTTGATACTTCAGCATCACACCTATAATTAAGATGATCAGTTTGCAGCCATTCTGCCTACAAATTCTGAATCCTGTAAGAAAAAGTGAAGACATCTCTCTGCCCTGAACAGTAATGGCTACCAAGTCCTTAGCTTTTGTACTTTTGTCTACAGTTTTAAAATTGTTTTTCTTTCAACAGCTCTGTTGCCCCCTGCAGAGTATTATGGGACACTCATCTAAATCACCCAAAACCCCTTGCTCACCCTGAACTGAGCCACGATTTTTATGATTACTGAAGACAGGTTAGTCTCCAGCCAGTGCAATGAAAGCACCTGATGTTTCTGAAGCCTCTCTAGATCTCTCTGGGGTAAGCACATCGACTTTCTAGGGTTTTTTTGTTTGTTTGTTTACATTTTGGTTAGTAATTGTTACCAAAAAATCAGAGAGCAATTGAGAGACTATAACACCTGCACAGTCTGTAGTAGCACCACTTCTAAACTAAGGCATACTTAACACATTTTGACACCCCATGTGATTTGTAAATCTTAAGGCGAATGTACTGCAATTATGACAATGCTATCAAAAAACATAACAGCAGAAAGAAATAGCAATATCCAGTCGCAGCTCCTAAGCTATGAATATTTTAAGGATAGTAGTAGGAATCGTTATTCAGCTAGGGCAGGACCTGGAAGAACTCAACAGACTATGTACATTAAAAAAATATTCTTTTAAAATATTTTCTTTTCCACAAAAAGAGTTCATCTACCATGGCTGAAGCATATTTTGCAACAAGTGAGATATTTGACTTCATGAAAATCACAAAGAAAAATAAAACAATCATCTTTGTAATAAAGAATGTAAGACATTCACTGTATCCATGAAGCAACTAAATAATCAAACCCTGGAACGAGCTACCAGCTTGGTTTTAAAAAATTGAAAGAAAACATGCAATTCTCAGCAAGTTAAAAATAATTAAATCCTAACATGCACTAGAATAATGAGATAAGAAAAAATAAAATAAATATTGATGGGAGCTTTAAAAACTCACTAGTAAGGTAATTGACAGCATTTTGGTATATATCACAATAACTTTTCTGTTTCAGGCAAATAGGTATTTTCAGAAACACACTATTTCTCCTTACATTTACAAATGCATACACATTTTGAAAGAGAATATGTGCACAGATAAACACGCTGACTCATGGATACATGCATCATTTCTATTATTTAAATTGTATCTACTGTATGTTCTGTTACTTTAAACTTTAGTATGCAGATCTGCCCTCAAAATCTACAATCCTCAGAAAGAAAACATATAGCTTTATCCAGCTGGACATTATAAATATACTAGGTACACTCACACAGCTTATGTAAATAAAGACAAAGCCATGCTTGTGTATTCATTTAAAGAACTACAGCTTTTGTATTTTAATTATTCTTGCACGCAAGAAACGGGATCGCACCACCCTTCTGCATGGCATCCTACGTAAATGAGCCCAGCGCATATATAAATATGGACGTGGTAGACCCCCAAACAACACAGTACCTGCTGTCTATCCAACCGCATCCTTTTTGCAGCATTTCTGCTTTCACTCTCACAGGCGGAAGCCAGGATACTCTCTGCAACTGCTGAAGTAAGGTGTGAGGGAATAGGTCGTGACTATGAGAGAAAAAAAGAAACACAGAAATTATTTCTAGCATAACCCACGATATCCTTTTTCAAAGCACACAATACCATCACCTAGGCAGGAAAGTCCGCTCATTGAAATGTAGTTTATACCAACAAAACAGGGAAAATGGAACTTGTAAAGATGAAAAATGAAACTAGTTAGATGTTAAAGCTGCAGCTGATCCATAGATCCAGGAGAAGCCCTTTCCCCCCACAGCTCTATTGTCCAGTATGCTTAGTCTGGCTCATTAAGCTGTACTTTGAACAGACAGTGGCATATTCTCTGCGTTCCAGCAGCACCCTGGCCGTCTGGTTCTTGTTAAGAAAACTGAAAGGCTTTTTATTCTGTACAGCATGTGACAGAGATGAGTAGTGGTTTTTTTATAGTCATAAAAAAACCAAAACAAAAAACCCCAAGTGATAGGGTTGAAACATCACTCAAAACATAACAGATTGTCAGAACATTTCAGAGCAGTCTCAATCTGTACTATATGAATATTTGCATTCCTTGCTGCAACATGACTGATGTGATTAAAATGACTTTAAAAAAATCTGTTTTTCTTTTGATAATGCCAGCCTTCCAACAATGTAGATGTTTTGTGGTTCTCCTAGATATGAGTAATTTTCCTGATTCAAAAGTCTCATCATTAATTTCATAGCATTTACATGTTTTAGGTTCAAGTTGCAATGAATGCCCCCAAAACAAGGGAATGCTAAAATCTTTTTGGCTCCACTGTTGGTAATGAACTCAAATATGTTCTTCCCTACCATTTCCTTAAGCATATTTACACACCGTTTTTTCCTATTGACACGCAAAACAACCTTTCTGAAATATGAAGCTCATAATAAAACTAATCTTATCAATATACAAAGATATATCTTCACTACCAAGAAAATAAAGAAAGTTGGGATAACACCGATACTGATATACATATAATCCCATTCCAGAGACTGCAATTTATTGAACCAGGTTCTGAACTTTCATAAATTTTCAAAGCTTCGTTGAACTCAAAATTACTATGTAAAAACTTATACCTATGGTGGAACTGGCCATATGTGTGCAGGTTTGGGGGTGGTTTTTTGTTTGTTTATGGGGGCTTTTGGTTATGGGTTTGTTTCCCTCCACTCCCCCACCCCTCACCCCTAGAGTTAAACCTTTTTACTCCCAAAAGCATAAATATGAACTGGCTATGAAATGTCAGAGTTTTGGAAGCAAGTTTTGAAGTATTCCCATTGAGTGCTTAGACAACCTTAGAACAGATTCATTTTATTGGCTCAACTGATTTTATGGTTTTCATAACATTCTAGAAACTGAGAGGCCAACCATTGCTAGTATTACATTTTCACCTTTAAAAATTAAAGTCCATTTATTGATTTTGGATGTGCTCTGCAGAATGCCAATTTTTTATCTGACACTGTACTTTCTCTAATGCCCTGGACTACAGTCTGTCTGGGACCAGAAGCTGAACTAGCTTTTAGACATAGACGGGGATTTATGGGTCTCCCTTACTAGTGAAATAAGCTTATTTCTCCCCACTCATACAATTCCAAGCTCTCTGGCATCAGCGTAACACAGCTGCATAAGACAGAGGCTGCAATGCTACAACAAAATACACTTGGGTTGATTTGAAAGAACAAACTATAAAATTTGTTTCCACTGTTGAAAATAAATCAGTTGAAGAGATGAGGGACACTGAAGTTAAACCCTGGTGGCATTACAGAAGTTAGCATTACAGTACAAGCAGACACCCTTTTCAGAGCTCCAGAGGAGGGAGGACGTTTTTCACTGACAAAGCGTTATATTTGTTATTTGCCTCCCTAGAATGGTGATGTTACTCTGAACTCATTATTGCATCACTTAGCCACACTAGATCTCTCCCTGTATCGGTGGCCAAGTATCACTGCGCACAGGCCACTGGTTTATGTGGTCCTCTAGCAGCGGCCACACACCGATATTCTTGAAAAATGGTGAGTAAACAGCTGGTTAACTCCTCCAGCTCAGGTCTGTAATCAGAACTATAACTATACATCAACAAATTTTTAGAATGTGACATGACCCAAAAAATTTAGTATTCCAACCAAAAAAGTAAAATGAACTCAAGTTCCCCCCGCTCAGTTGTTTATGGGAGAGAACGGGTTCACTGAAGTGGTTTATAATGTAAAAAATAGGGTTACCATAAAATTCAAGCAGTCATGTTTTTCTCTGAAAAGGAGTGCAGTGGCTATGTGTTCACTGTTGAAATATTGAACTCAAAGTTAGTATCTGCAAAAATGAGGAAATCTCTAGGTAATGGAGTATCTTCCTCTTGAAATATGGGTTAACTCATAATTTCTCTCACTCATCTCTGCAGCTGGCTGTTGATATATTTGTGTCAAGAACTATCTAGAGTGAACCTGAGGGAGAATATGATGACTGCACAGTTGAGTCACCTGGGGAGTAAAATACTGTAACAAAGCACAGGAGAAAAATCATCTGATTAAGGTTCAGGTTCTATCAACTTAACTCAGGCAGAGCACTAGTCTGGCATTGACTGAGAAGATGAACAGAGTCCTCTGTCACTAGAAGTAAAGCTGTTAAAAGAGGATTTTCTGTTCCATGAAATGCCATATCTGTGAAATGTCAAAAAAACCAATTTTGAAAAGCCTTGCCTAAGAGGAAAAAAAATGCTTTGAAATAACCACTTTTTAAAAAATGTTTTTAAATAAACTGAATTAATAGTCCTATCTTTTCAGCTCAGAGGCCCCTTCTTGGTTTAGCGTAACTTCCTCATCTTCTATACTGCTGATTATTCATGATCTCTGTCATGACTACCAGCTATAAAACCACTCCTGTAAGAAGCTCTAGCAACCCAGTCCTGGTGGGGTTCTTAACACTTCCCAACGCCCTACCCAAGGGTGAGACACAAAGGCCTTGGGAAACACGGCAAAAGCAACATCGTTCAGTTCTGCGGAAGGAAGCCTGCGGATCTCAGCCAAATCAGTGTTTCCTCAGTTCCCAGGCTCCCCTGTGCAGAGATGGGTGCTGGTTCCTGCATGTTTGGGGCTAGAGCAGGAGATGAGAGAGCCAAGGAGTCCTTATTTCCAAGGGCTGGATCTACAACCTGCCCACTGGAGTGGCAGGAAACCAGGTTTTATTTTACTGGAGTATGTCCAAGCAGAAACACTTTGATAAACTAACATTTCTTGAGGGGGGGGGGGGGGGGACACATTATCAAAAATTCCTGACCAGCTTTAACTGACAAAATGCAACACCTAGTGTTATTTGATATGTAACATTCATAGCCCCAGGCTAGTACTTTTTTCACTTCACAGTGATGTAAAGCAGAAAATAACTATGCTGAAACTACCTCTGTGTGAAACAAGAGAAAAGATACAAGCCTCTGAACTTTAGTCTCCCGAAACAAGAGATTCACATGACAAAATCAGAAGGCAGGATAACATTTTGTCATTTTGAAACGATAGAAAGCAAAGAGGCATGTGAAAATTTTACAATAACTTTCAAGTAAATAGACAAATAAAACTAAGAGGGAATCTGGTGAACAGCTTCATACAGACCTTCTGAGAAGACTACATGCCTCTGTCTGTCACACAGCAGCAGCATACAGAATTCCTCTGTATTTACTTAAAAACCCAATACTTCTCGTGACTGCACTAAAACAGCAGCCAGGTTTTTAAACACACATTGTTCTTTGGCTTTGTACATCTCCTCAGCTGGCCACAACTAACGTTCAGCCTCTAACACGATGTAGGCAAAGAGCACTTCGACAAAAGGTGTAAGGGGAGCTTGCTAGATTACATGTACACGCAGATGCCTCTGTTTCTAACATCTTTTGAAGCGACTGACATTCGGGAAGTGGTTGAAATTCCCTCAGTAGCCCAAGGGCGCTGGCCAACCACCTCCAGTCCTCTCATATTTTAAACTGCATTTCAAGGCAATTTAAACCTGATTCTTGAGACCACCACAGAGCCTGTAGATAACGATGACAACAAAGCAACAAGCACACTAACCACCATACTGGACAGGAACTTTTGCATGGTTTCCAGAGAAATCCTTTTAGTGCAAATTGATATGACGACTACTTTATACACTCATCCTCTTACCTCCTCCTGAAGAATATACAAATTATTGACAGATATACTTTTGCGGTTTTCTTCATGAAAAATCAAATTAGCCAATACTTCTTTGTAGTCAAAATAGCTGTTGGTCTGCTTTAAAGAACACTAAAGCTAATGAAGATTTTTCCGTGGCTTTGCTGGTCTTTAGATCTGGCCCTTAACCACCAAAGCATCTTACAACAAGCCTTTCTGGAGTTATGGAGTAGTACTGCAAGGCTGCTGATTTTTTTTGTAGCTCAAATCAGAAATCCTTGCCCCAGAGCCTCTAGAAATTAGCTCTATTAGTAGGATCTCTGATTCCTTAACATAAACGAGACTAGAACTTTCAATATGCTGCAAAATACCCATTCGCAGTTCAGCAACTGTATACAGTATCATCAGGTCTTCTGTTTAAAGTGAGGTACCTTTGCAGTATCTTCATGGGTAAGCATGAACCTTCATGCAGTATCATCAACATATCCTTATTTACATAGTCACACAATTCCTGGATTTCTATATTGAATCTAAAAAACTGCTATGTTCTAATTGGGAGAGGACTTTTTACAAGAGCCTGTAGTGATAGGACAAGGGGTAATGGGTATAAATTGAAATCAGGGAGGTTTAGATTAGATGTCAGGAACAAATTCTTCACAGAGAGGGTGGTGAGGCACTGGAACAGGTTGCCCAGAGAAGCTGTGGATGCCCCATCCCTGGAAGTGTTCAAGGCCAGGCTGGATGAGGCCTTGAGCAACCTGGTCTAGTGGAAGGTGTCCCTGCCCATGGCAGGGGGATTGGAACTAGATGGTCTTTAAGGTCCCTTCCAACCCTAACCATTCTATGATTCTATGATTAATTTCAGGTTGGAATTTTGTGTATAAATCTACCAATTATTGATA